CTCCCCCCCCCCCCCCTCCCAGTAGCACTCACCCTTACTTCTCAAAATGGCAAAAAGTGACGATTGAGCACCAACAAATGCATCGGCAGCCAATGCGCCGAATACCGAACCAGTAATCCACCATTCATCCACCAACTGCAATGGCTCCATCTCCTTCCAACAAACGGTCCTGACAAATTCTTGTTACTGTTTCTAAGTGCTCTTGTTCTACTTGTCTTCCTCAATTAATTTAGTAAGTTACATCACTTACCTCGCCCAGTGAAAAATCACACGGCGGTAATTCTCGAAGAAACTCTTTCCCCTCGTATTTCGCTCGGACCCATTTTTCTTTCTCTTCTCTAAATGTGGATATATAAAGAGGGACAATTAAGGAAGCATACGGATTACATCATTAAACTGTTGAAATCACACTGGCTGTGTGATAACGAGACTTTCTCACTTAGATTGAAGCTTAAACTGGCACAACCTTGAGTAACCTGGTGCGACCTTGCGTGACCTAAGAAGACTTTGCAGCGGCTGTGCGTGACCTAACGTGACTTAGCATCAAAACGTTATTGTGTTACCACTTGTTACTAGCGCTTTCATACCTTGAAGAAGACGGGGTTGGTTTCGTCCTGTTTTGTAGCTTTCCTTCCCACACGCTGTTAGCAAGTGTGTTTCCAATTGCGCTGATCACAGCTGTGAGCTCAGATCTGCAAAGCAAAACAAGTGCGATGCGATAAGTACTTCCCAAGGCACCATTAGCAGCTAGTCTGAAGGAAGATTACTGGGTGCGGAGACCATTTAAATAGCAGTTTAGCTGGGTTAAGATTACAAAGACACTGGATAGGCATGGAAACTAGATCTTTTGACCAACGATCACGACGAGCAGGTCATTCGCCTTCAAAATCCTAAAAACAACTCTTATTTTCAAACACGTGGTGTACACTTTACTTACGGCCATTCGTCCAGGTCTAGAGATCGTACTCTAGACACGTGTGTTCCAAGATTTCTGTGAATTCCAGAACATTCTATACACATCAAAGCTCCAAGGTTCAGTGACGCCCAGTCAGGACCTGAGAAAACAAGAAAGAAAACACACATTAATGACTTCATGGGTCATCGCCTACAGGATGATGTCGGTTGTCACCGACATCAGATTTTCAAATTCCCCGACTTTTCCATGATAAAAATACAATTTCGCTGACCAAACTGGCACATAACTACAAAATATAATATATAGTAGTGGCTTCCAGCTCCCCTTACAACCGTCGTTACAACCCATTTAGGACTGATAAGGTTTCGACAAATTTGCCTTCTTCGTTAAGGAAAAACATCACTAAGGTCGCAGTGATCCCGAATGTTTCCTTCAGCCTTCAACGGTATGAAATCTACAGTGTTAAAATTTCAAATCTCCCTGACTTAACTTCAAAATGTCAATTTTCCCTGACTCAAAATAAACTTCCCGACTTCCTCTTGTAACAATTTACCATTTCAACCTCTTCACTCGAAAAGACCGTGTTCATTTGATTTAGTATGACGGGCGCTAATTAAATTTTGGGAAAGTAGCGAATAGTGTGTTTATAAGAACAAGGTACTTACCACAACATGGTTGTAAATTGAAAAAAAAAAGTAGAAACACCCCTTCAAAGAGTGCGGCAAGGACATAATTATTTTAAGAGGGAGGGATGCCACGGTATAAACTGATTCTCATAATGCAATGCATTGCGAAAATGAAAAACAGCAACAGGACACCCAACTTACTCGGCGCGCCACAGTCCACACACACTTCGTTTCCTTCCATATTCCTAATTGATTGCATATCGTGACCATTAGATGAAGAACTGCTGTTACCTCTTGACTGAAAACAGAACCAAGCAAACAGTTTCAGTTAACTCATGGTAGTTAACTCTATGGTCAAGTGTGCTGCTTTTTATGGTATATACGTGAGATAAGAACTACATAAGACGCTGGAGAACAATCTGTCCCAGGTGCAACATAGCGAGGACTCTTCTGAGCCCGCCGTCGTGCTGTTTCTAGCAATTTGAACTTCTGTTTAGTTTCCTTTTGATTTTTCTTGTTTATATATGAGTAGCTTTAGTTTAATTCTGATTAACGAGAGATCCACTGTAATTGGCTAGGCAGCAGTGGTCTCCCTGCCTAATACAAATTCTATGTATAGAAGTACTTTAGTTAGGCGAAGTTGAATAAATAAATAAAAATAACTAAACATCGATGATTAATCTTTAAGGGGGATTGGCAGTGAATGCTTATAAAATGACACAGATCGAACACACACCACTCAATAAAACCAGAAGAAAGAACCACTAAACAAGCATTTTCCATTTATTCCAAATCCCGGCACTAATTCTCCATTTGTGATTTCTCCTTCATAAACATCTTTAACATTCTAAGTAATTTAAAAAACGTTTTAACCTTGTAAGTAGGTCAACTTTAGGGAAACAGAAGAAGATGACTGACGAAATATCGTAAAGCGTTTGCATTTTTAGTAAAAGGGCTATTTACAGTATATTTATAATCAACACCACAAAAACATCATTGGCAAAATGGTCTGTATTATTCAAGTTGACTTTATTCGCTGTACATTAAATGGACTTTGGAGGGTGACTGAAAACAAAAATGCAAAGAAGAAGTGAAAAAAAAAAGTTTCTGCAGAGTGAATTGCTCTCTCGACTACAAATTGTATTCGCCTGAAGGGCACCTTGGCAGCCACTTTATACTGCAGTTTTAATTTCTTGGTCCTGGTGTAATTCCCATCCACATGGTTTTCTCTACAATTAAGAAAACGGACATTTTCCCCTTTCAAGGCTGATACATTTTGCACGCAGCAACTTCATCATGGACACTGCTAGCCAGACATCCTTCCAGACAAACCCTTACGGAAAACCATGGCTTAAAAGTGATAAAAAAAAAAACAAAACAAACATGTGCTATAAACAGCCAACCTGCTTGATTCGTTTGCAATTAACGAAGCACATACCGTGTTTTAAGAGCCTCGACATATATATAGGAGTAATTTCACAACTGACATGAATAAATGACGATTGTGGACACAGATGTGCACACCCATGGCGAACCACTTCCCCTAAGATGGCCGCTAAGATCAACGTTGGACAAACTTCCTAAAAGACAATCATGGACGGAAAAAACCCTGCAGAGGCAGTGGACGTAAAAAAAAACATTCCTGGAAACTGAAAAAGTGCCACCCCCGCCCCCCCATCACTTTTCTAATGGTCTGTCCCTTAACAACTCCCCGTATTTCATATGTTCGTCAGCAACCAAGTCTTTTCGCCATCCTTTCCAGCTGCTCAATGCACACAGTGCTTTGTGTTTTAAACAAACAGTCACATAATTCCTCGTAAAATAAAGGAATATCACTGATGTTTTCGGAAGTTACAAAATTGCAATCGTCGTTGCTCATATCGGGCAATTTCTGTAACTTCCGAAAACACGCGTGATATTAATACTTCATTTTACTCGCCCTCGTGACTACCTGTACTAATTATTAAATTATCACGACAAAAATGGACTATGGGATTCAAGTTTACTTTTTACGCTGTACAAACATACACTGATTTTTTGTTTTTTCATTTGCAGCAAACTAGTTTATGACAAGTCTGTCTAGCAACTTCCCGTATTTCATGTATTCGCCAGCAATACAAAAATGGATTTAAAGCCGAGTTAATGAACACTACAGTTGAAGCAAGGGATCTGCCAAGCATTACATTGATTGGGCAAACTGAAGTTACGACGAAAACAATAAAATAAGGGCAGTAACAAACAATGAGTACAAGAAAAACTATAAAGGCGTTCAAAGCAGA